TAAAAATGTTACATGAGCAGATGACATGATCCTATACATAGAAAAACCTAAAGACAGGCCGGCCTGTGGCTCACTCAGTAGAGTGCGGTGCTGATAACACCACGGCCACGGGTTCGGACTCTATATAGGGATGGCTGGTTTGCTCACTGGCTGAGCGTGGTGCTGACAACACCAAGCCAAGGGTTGAGATCCCCTTACTGGTCATCTTTTATTTTTTTTTTACCGGTCATCTTTTTTTTTAAAAAAAAAAAAGAAAGAAAAACCTAAAGACTACCAAAAAACTCTTAGAGCTGATAAACTATTTCAGTAAAGTCGCACGATACAAAATCAACATACAAAAATCAGTAGCATTTTAGTACTCCAAGAATGAGCTAGCAGACAAAGAAAAAGAAAGCAGGCCCATTTACCACAGTCACCAAAAAAAAATAAAATACCTAGGAATCTATTTAACCAAGGAAGTGACAGATCTCCACAATAAGAACTATAAATTGCTGCTGAAGGAAATTAAAGAGGACAGAAAAAGATGGAAAGACATTCCATGCTTTTGCATTGGAAGAATTAACATTGTGAAAATGGCAATAATACCCAAAGTGATCTACAGGTTCAATGCAATCCCCATCCAATTACCAATGACATTCTTCACAGAAATAGAAAAAACAATCCGAACATTCATATGGAACAACAAAAGACACCAAATAGCTAAAGCAATCCTGAGCAAATAAATAAATAAATAAAGCCAGAGGTATTACACTACCTGATTGCAAATTATACTACAAAGCTATAGTAATCAAAGGAGCATGGTACTGGCATAAAAACAGACACTCAGACCAATGGAACGTAATAGAGAACCCAGAAATCAACCCACATATTTACAGCCAAATGATAACTGACAATGGCAACAGGAGCATACACTGGGGAAAGGACAGCTTCTTCAATAAGTGGCTCTAGGGAAACTGGACATCCGTAAGTAGAAGAATGAAACTAGACCTGTCCTTATTGCCATATATCAAAACCAAGTCAAAATGGACTAAAGACATATATAAGACCTGAAACTATAAAACTACTAAAAGAAAACACAAGGGAAACACTTCAGGAAGTAGGACTGGGCAAAGACTTTACGAACAAAACCCCAAAAGCCCAGGCAACAAAAGAAAAAATAAATGGGATTATATCAAACTAAAAAGCTTCTGCACAGCAAAAGAAATAGTTAACAGAGCAAAAAGACAATCTACAGAATGGAAGAAAATAAACATCCGATTAAGAAATGGACAAAGGCACTGAATAGGGATTTCTCAAAGAAAGATATAAAAATGTCCAGACACAAGAAGAAATGCTCGACATCACTAAGCACCAGGTAAGTGTAATCAAAACCACATTGAGATACACCATCTCATGCCAGTTAGACTGGCTATTATCAAAAAGACAGAATAACAAATGCTGGCAAGAATATGAAGAAAGGGGAACCCTCCCACACTGTTGGTGGGACTGTAAATTAGCACAGCCATTATAGAAAGCAGTAATGGAGCTTCCTCAAACAAGTACAGATAGAACTGCCATTCGATCCAGCAATCCCACTGCTGGGTATATACCCAAAGGAAGGGAAATAGGCAGGTCGAAGGGACACCTGCACTCCCATGTTTATCGCAGCTCTATTTACAATAGCTAAGAGTTGAAATCAACCTACATGTCCTTATCCAGACCACTGGATAAGGAAAATGTGGTATGTATACACAATGGAATATTATTCTGCCATAAAAAGAAATGAAATTCTGCCACTCACAGCAATATGGAAGAACTTAGGCCACCAGAGGTGGGAAAGGGGAAGGGAGACGGGTGTTAGGGGGAAATTGGTAAAGGGCCACAAAAAATGTTTACACTGTGTAGTGATAAAATAACCTTTAAAAAGAGTAAAAAAATAAAAATGTTAGTTGCATACTTAAATTTGTTCTCATCAAAATCCATGTACTGAGAGCATACTATGTACCTGGCACTGGCACTTAGCAACTAACTAGACAGAAAATTATCTAACAAGATCAGAATAGGAGATATGTAGCAGATACTCAGTAAATGCTTATTAATCAGATTTGATGAACTTCTTGAAATTTTCTATCAGGCTAAACACTGAAGTCTTTCATTAATGTTTTCTTCACATGGCAATGGCCCTTGGTTTCCCAAATGCTACTAAGCATCCAACTTTTGTGGACTTTCTTGTATCAGCCCTCTAATCCTTATTAAATGCTTATTTATTTTTTAATTTATGGGATGTAAATCAGGAAGTATATAGAAAGCTACAGTGTAAAAGGAAAGAAAAACCCACAGACATATTCTCCTCTTTTCCATTATGAGATGAACTTTGAATTGGTGGTCTAGTAATAACAAGTTTTTATGAACTATTGATTCACTCTTGCCCTATTTCTTTTGCTACTGAATTGGTTGTTGAATCAAGTGCTAGGGTCAAGTAATGTAGAAGCTCAGATCCAGGTGAGTTAACTGGCCTGACAACAGACCAAACAACAACCTTGAACAAGGAACACCACATTATGACAGCCCACTCGCTTAGCTATCACACACCAAGAGTAGGCTGGCCCCATAGCATCACAGCTCTAGTCTGCTGACCTGCAAAAATCCAGGTTTTTCTAAAGTGGAGCCCAGATATCAACTGTAAAGACTTTAACATCAACTTTTAGGATCTTACACAAAAGCTTAGTTTTTATCTGGGATGAAAATTATTTTTACTACTTTAATCAACAGTGATTCCCGCCCAAGAAAAATCAAAATCTGTGCACATTGGAAATGCCCAATAAATACCAGATTAACTGGAGGGGAAAAGCACTAAATTAGTGACTACAAATGGACATCATTTTCTTCATTAACTTCAGCATACACTTCTTGAGCTACTACTAGGTGCAAGGGATAACAAAAAGTGTCAATCATAGGTCCCAACCGCAGGGAGTTTACAATTGATAACTACAGTGAATCATTCGGAAGCATTTGAACAACTCTAGACATGATAACAACTTTTTCCTTTTAGTTTTGGCTTCTCTAATTACTTATTTTAAACAGTTCATACATTTTTTTTCTTCTACAGAAAGAAGCCAAGAAGAAAAAAAGGGGAAGGATAGATAAAAGGATGGATCCCACTAACATGCCTAGCTCACACCAGAAGAATTCAAAATGTATAAGAATAAATGAGGATTATTTTCTTCATGCTGAATACAAATTTCAGTACTAAAGTAGTCACTGTTATCCTAAGACACTCCATTTGGTTAACTGCTAAACAGCCTGTACCCCCCCCCCAACGTTAGGTGATACGTGTGATCTAACTCATACTCCCGCAGACTGACAGATATTCTATACTACACCACATGCTTATGCTTCCCACCCATTCATTCATAAAGAAGGGAACATTATAAAAACCCACACAAATTATTGGAAATACAGCACAACTAGAGACTTGAGTAAATAGCACCATACTATCAAGAAAATATAATTTTATATGAATAACATGAATTTCAATTCTAAATAACACAGAAAGTAATTTCCTAATGCACTTATTTTCTTATTTAAAGATATTGCAGGAATTCAAGTAAAAAAAAAAAAAGTGGCCATTGATTACTTTCCTTATATTATACTTCACCTCTTCTATTACCTGAAATCTTCTATTAGTATAACCTGAGAGATTATAGGTGCTGCTTCATTTTTCCTGTCACATTTAAAGTACTATTTTCTCTAATTCCTCTACTATACTGTCTTTCTAGATGACAATCCAAGTTTTGCCCACCCAGAGGTGTGAGTGAGCTGGAAGATTTGGGGAAATGTATTTTCCAAGAAACAGAATGGTAACCCACATCATGAGGCTTCCAAGGCCCTCAGAGGTGAACTGCAACACTGACTTTGACCCTGACCTCACTATCCACACTTCCTTTCCTCACCTATTGTCACTCTTAATCACTTAACTCTTCAATACTTTTTGTTTCATAAGCATTTATAACTATCCCAAAGTATCCCATGTATTTGTCTATTGTCTGGTTCCCCACAAGAATATAATCTTCAGAGAGAAGGCTTTCATGTATCTTGTTGATTGAACCCCAGCTTCCAGAGTAGTACGAGGGAACTTCAAAAAATTCATAGAAAAAGATTCTTATTATCTTTTAATTCCATTTTTCCACTAACTTTCTGAAGTGCCCTAGTACCTGACTCATACGAGATGCTCAAGAAATATGTACTGAATTAATTATTACTTCCTACAATATCAAAAATTGGGATATCTTTTTATAGATCAATAAACCAACTAGTAAAATCTAGGGTTATTGCAGAAAAAAAGCAAAAGGAAAAACATCTATCTGCTTACCAACGCTTGCTAAATTAGATATGAAAAACGCAAACTATGTGAAGGTTTTTAAGAGAAATAAACATTACTAATTTGAGACTCCTTATGAATACAACAGTTTCTTTTTCCTTAGTATACTGAATTGCTTATCACCCTCCTGAGTGAGGATGCCTGACTGCCTTACCTACAACCTTCTGCCATTATCTCAGCGCTGCATTCTGAACTGAAACTCAGTAAAGAGGAAATCTGATGGAGTGTGATGCTTTTTTACAACGGAATAAGCAGGTCTTATCACAAGCGAATACAAACCCTAGGGACAATGGTCACTCTAACAAATATTCTTATGAAGTTAAGCCACTGCCATTTCCCTTTCCCCAAAGTGCTTGGACAATTTCAGTTTAATGACGGTATCATTCAGTCAAGCTGTGAGCGTCGAGCTACGATCGAATAAAGTTCCTTTTAAAAGATTGAGATGAGAGGTAGAAAAAGGAGCGGGTTCAGCACTGAAACAAGAGAAGAGCTCATTTAAAAGACTGTTCTTTCCTATATTCCCGAACCCCAGCCCTAATGTCCCCTACCTCACTGAGAACAGCCTTCCATTTACTGCAAACTACAGTGATTTCTGACGTCCCCTCTCTAAATCACAGAAACCAGCCAAGACTGCACTTACTTATCAACATGGTGGAAGAAGACAGGATGTTGTGATGAGAAGTGTCCCCGGGCTTGGGTGTGAGGTACCGGGTGGGTGACCTAACTTTCCTCGTCGGTAAGTGGTCATAAAGTTGCCTCCCACCCCGAGAACGGTTAGAAGAACCAAACACGATAACCAACACAGAGTGCACCGCCTGCGCACAGCGAACGCTCGGTTCCCCTTCCTTCCGCTCACCACCTGCACAGCAGCCCCGAAGATCTGGAATGATTATCTGGCTCTCAAGGTTGGGACGGCTGATGGCTGCTGAGGAGCCACAGAGCCGAATATCGTGCATCTGGGCAAACCCCACGGCGCCCGGAGCCCGCCGCCCATGGGGGCCGAGGGAACGCTCATGTCTACCCGCCGGGCCCACACTCCTCAGCCCCATTTTTGTCCGGCTTCCAGCCTGGAGGAGAGGAGCCGGGGCCGACGAGGAGGGCCACGCCGCGTCCCCCGGGGGCTCCGGGAGCGGGCGGCTCGCACCGGAAGCGGGGAGGGCCGGCCGACACAACAGGTAAAATAACTTGCTCAACATTACAAAGCTGAAAAATATCAGAGCTGCGATTTGGTTATCACGCCATGTGGTCTAGCTTCAGAGCTTGTGCAGTTAACCACTGTGCCTTGGTGCTTCCTAAAAACTCTGTGATTTAGTCATCCCATATTACAGAGGAGAAAAAACAGGGTTTAAATTAATAAGCCTAAGACCTGTATTACATGCTTAAAAGTATTGTTACTTTGTGAGAACCATGACACTTTAACAGCCCCCTGACAAGTTAGATTATAAATGTCAGTAAAGGGGAAATTCGTCTGACATTTATTGAGAGCCTATGTCTGTAACTCTTAAGACCATGATCTTTCCAATACATTAGTATATTATTCTCAAGAGTAATGCAGATCTAGAGAAATATAAACCAATGATCCGAAAACTACCTCGAGGCACATGCTATGCTGTTGCTAAATCAACATCGACACTTTGCACATTTACTTAACCAACATAGTCACTGAGAGGTGAGGTAAAATAAAGGAATGTGGTGGTTAATTTTAGGTGTTAACTTGACTGGGATAAGGATTACCTAGAGAATTGATAAAGGATTATTTCCGGGTGTGCCTCTGAGGGTGTTTCCAGAGGAGATTGGCTAAGTCAGTGGACTGAGTGGCGAAGATCCACATTCAGTGTGGGTGGGCACCATCCAATCAACTGGAAGCTGGGATAGAACAAAAAGGCAATTTCTTCTCTCTTCTCCTGTGCTTGGACACCAGAACTCCAGGTTCTACAGCTTTTGGACTCCAGTGGCCCCCCGTGGTTCTCAGACCCTTCAGCCTCAGACTAAGTTATACCATTGGCTTTCTTGGTTCTATGATCGCACATGGACTGAGTCACACTATCAGCATCCCAGGGTCTCCAGATTGAAGACAGCCCGTCCTGAGACTTCTCAGCCTCCATAATCATGTGAGCAAATCACTATACTAAGTTCCCTCTCATGTATCTAACTACATCTATTTCTACAACTCCTATTGGTTCTCTCTGGAGAACCCTAATACACCTTCCATTCTGTTTTTCCTCTATCATAATGTAATGTGCAATCAGAGGAAAACAGGTCACAACACTGAAAAATATTCCATTTTATTTCTATACCCCCACATTTTGTTTCTCTATTTGTTGATAGGGACTTGGATTTTTTCCCCCTTTTTTTTTTTTTTTTTGTCTTTTTTTCATGTCCGGCAATGGGATCGCAACCCTCGGTACTGCGCCCGCCCCTCGCTCAGCCAGTGAGCGGGAACCGGTCTGTATGTGGGATCTGAACCCTCGGCGGGAATGCCACCGCACTCCCAAGCGGCGCACTGTAGCAGTGCGCCACTGGGCCGGCCCGTTTCCACCTTTTGACTATAGTGAATAATGCTATGAACATGGGTGTACAAATATCTGTTTGAGACCCTGCTTCAATTCTTTTGGGTATATATCCAGAATTGAATTGCTCGGTCATTTTAAAATTTTTTCAAGGAAATGCCATACCATTTTTCCACAGTGGCTGCACTATTTTACATCCCCACAAGCAGTGCACAAGAATTTTAACCTCTTCATATCCTTGCCAACCTTTGCTATTTTCTTTTTTGGCAGCTGGCCAGTACAGGGATTGAACCCTAGACCTTGGTGTTTTCAGCACCACGCTCTAACCAACTGAGTTAACCAAGCTGGTTATTTTCTGTTTTTTATTTTGATACTAGCCATTCTAGTGGATGTGAAATGGTATCTCATTGTGGCTTTGATTTGCATTTCCATAATGATTAATAATGTTGAGCATCTTTTCATGTGCTTATTGGCCATTTGCATATCTTTTTTTTGGAAATGTCCACTCAAGTCCTTTGTATAATAAACTTTTGACCAGAGAGTAGACAACTATCCCCTGGGAAGTAGTGCCAGCACAGTTTTATCAAGCAGAATTACATGAAATCCTTTATTTTAGCCATCAAAAACGACAGAGAAATGATTCTCCGTACTTCTTGATAATTAAGACCAACAAGTACAAAATGCATTGTTTAGAATGAAAATAGAAACAATTCCTTCCTGGGACTCCCTAGGATATAATTAAACCCAAACCTGTACTTCCTAACTTTCTTTGCACTTTCATGTAAACAATATTTATTGAGCACCTACTTTATTAAGTGGTTTAAAACAACACAGGGCTGAGCCCGTGGCCCACTCGGGAGAGTGTGGCTGGGAGCGCGGAAGCGCTACCGCCAGGGTTCGGATCCTATATAGGGATGGCAGGGGCGCTCACTGGCTGAGCCTGGTGCGGCCAACACCAAGCCAAGGGTTACGATCCCCTTACCAGTCACACACACATAAAAAAGGAGAAGTTATATTGCCCTTTTCTTTTATTCTTGTCCCGCTTTTCCAACCTTCCCCTCCAGATAGACTGAAAAACACTGAGGAACAAAAGCCAACCCATTTGTCTTAAGGTAGGATCATGCTGAATAGTCTCTAGTTGAGACCTCCAAAAAAAAAAAAAAAAAAAAAAAAAATACCCCCACAAATTTATTATCTTACACTTCTGGACGTCAGAAGTCTAAAATCAAGGTATTGGCAGGTCTGCATTCCTTCTGGGGGCTTAGGGGAGAATCCGTTCCCACTCCTTTTTATGCTTCTGAAGCTGCCTGCATTCCGTAGCTCACTGCCTCTTCCTCACATTACTCCAACCTCTCGCTTCTGTGCTCATAGCTCCTACTCCTGCCTTTGAGATGCTTGCCTCCCCTCTGTAAGGACCCTTTTGATTACATTTGGCTCACTGCATAAATCCAGGTTAATTTTTCTATTTTGATCCTTAATCACATCAGCTAAATCACGTTTGCCATATAAGGTAACATTTTCTTGTGTTCTGGGGATTAGGAAGCGGACATTTTTGGGGTGCCATTATTCTACCATTCCTATTATGTGCCTGAGAGGTCAACAGCGAGAAGTTACGGCATTCGGTATATTCTGCAGAAATCATTATTCTTCTTAGATTGTTAACTACCCACCTTGTTTACAAGTAGGTAGAGGGCTTTCTAATGTATTACTAGGCCCTGGCCCGTAGAACTAACTAGTTGTCTGAATGAACTTTGCTGATAGAAAATATCACAAAGACACGGCCGTCCTCCATTTTTATTATAGTTGTTTTGGTTAAAAACAAACAAACAAACCCAAACTACAAAATAATCAAAGCAGCTTTCCCTGTTAGCAGCTTTCCCTGTTATCCACGGTAACTAGGCCTACCCGTTGTGCCGTTGATCGTGGAGGTAAGAAGCGGTACCACATGGACGATGCACTGGGCACCAGAGGCTTGGACCAGCTCTTTTTTCACTTCCCCTCCCGTTCGTGAGTCCCGGACCTGTCCTGCCCTCGGCTGCACGTGGAGCCCCAGTCCAGTCCGCCCGTCAGCTTAGCGCGCGCTCTGTGACGCCAGCCCCGCGGAGTCGCGCACGGGCACGCGCTTGGCCACCGCCCACTTCCCGCCGTCGGTGCCGCTCGCTGCCGCCGCCTGCTTTCCCTTTCCGCTCTCTCCACTTCCGGAAGCTCGAGCCGCCAGGAGCCGCTTGCAGGAGCTGCGGGGACGCGCCGGCGCATGCGCGCGAGCGAGGGCCCGGAGGCCGCGGGCGCCCCACGAGAGGCTGTAGCGGCCTCGGCCGCCAGGTGAGCGGCGCGCGAGCGACCCCTTCCTCCCTGGCCTCTGCGCGCCCGCCTCCCCGCCCGTCCGTTCGGGATCCGTTTCCCCTCCCCGGCGCCCAGGCGGCGGCGAGCACTCGGGGTTGGTATAACGAAGCCTGCGCGGGAGCTTGGGAAGGCGGGCCCGCTTGGGCCCCCAGCCCTTCTCCGCCACCTCTCGGCCCGGCCAGCCCCTCGGCGGCGGGTGTAACCAAAACGGAAGCGTCCGAGCCCGCTGGCGGCGGGTCCGTGGGGCCGTCCGCACCCCCACCCGCCCTGGGCGGGAACGGCTGGTCCTGCCCTCTAGACGCGTTCTTGGTGGAGTGCGGGTTGGGGTCGACTCTGAATTGAGATGTGTTTGCGACCGGGGCCCGGGCTTTGACCACTGCCGCCCACTGCCGCCGATTGAATTCTGTCATCTTCTACCTCCCGGGGTCGCCAGGGGGTCGTAGACCGAGCCTCGAGTTCCTGGAAAACAGGTGTTTACTGTGGGCCGAGATTTCCCCGTACCCAGCTGGGTGTCTTCTTGGGGACCTATTATATATCTAACTCTAAATTGTAATGTCACAGTAACAAATGATAGTTTAGAATATGCCAGAATCTTTTTTGTGTATTTTCCTGATATATCGTAAAAGCACTAATATTTCTGTTGCTGGCTCTGCATGAGCTGTACAAATGGTAGTGTCCAGGTGACTTCCAGGCAGCTTTGGCAAAAGCCTGCCTTGAGCACTAGAGGGTTCTTACGGTCTAATGAACTATCATTCAATTTTACCCTTTCCCAATGTGTTGTAGAGAAAACTGCCTTGTTAAGCCACCATTTTTCATATTTATTCTCTAAGTTGAATCTCACTAACTTTGAAGTAAATGTTATCAAAGGGATTGTTTGGTAGATGGGATTGTTGGATAAATTTTCCTGTAAATTAAATCTCCTGGGTGTTTAAATCTTTACATATGGAACTAAATTTAAACTTGAAAAGTCTCCCAGGCACTGGCTGTGCACCCCCTCTCATGAACTGTGACCACTTAGGGAGGCAGATGACTTACAACTATTGTGGACCAAATGACTGTATGTACCATGGAAGTGAAGATAAAGGGATATGCTGGGGGACACCATCAAGGAAGCTATGTTGGAAAGGAGTTGTTTTTTCTGCCTAAGTAGCTAGCAAAGAGCAGAAGCAAGACTCAGTCTTGTCTCCATGTTCCTT